TGCAGTGGCACAATCTCAGCTCACTGTAACCTCCACCTCCCAGGCTCAAGCAATTCTCATGCCTCTTGCCTCAGCCTGCCAAGTAGCTGGGATTACAAGCAAGCGCTACCACACCCAGCCGATATTTGATATTTTCAGTAGAGATGGGGTTTCACCATATTGGCCAGGCTGTTCTCAAACTCCTGGCCTCAAGTTGATATCCCTGCCTCTGCCTCCCAAAAGTGCTGGATTTACAGGCATGAGTCACCGAGCCCAGCCATACACCCAACTCATTTCATTTTAATAATTAATACTTGATGTTGGCCAAATAGTGCTGTCCTGGAAAGCAACTTAGCAATTTCTGTTATTAATGGATTTCATAGTATCTGTACTCTTCAAACCACTAAGCCTTAAAAATGTCAATACCCTATCACCAACTAAATTCACTTCTAGGAATAAATTGGAAGAAAAATAAAAAAGATATAACCAAAAAATTATGAACAAAGATGTACAAAGCAGCATTTATTTCATAACAGTGATAATATGGAAATGGCCTAGATGTTCCATAATAATGCACGTAGCCAATAAAAACCACATTGCCAAAGACATGGCTGTGCTATGAGAAAAATTAGATATGCTTAGTGAAGCTTAAAAATAGCGTGACTCAACACTGTCTGTGTTCCTACCATGACTACCAAATCTCTATGGGAGATTTTTTCATGTTTTTCTTTTCAAATAGGGTCTTGCTTTGTTGCCCAGGCTGGAGTGCAGTGGCACCATCATTGTTCACTGCGACCTCGAACTCCTGGGTTCAAGCAATTCTCCCTCCTCAGCCTCCCAGTAGCTGGTACTACAGGCACCACTACCACCACACCCAGTTAATTTAAAAAAAAAATATGTAGAGACGAGGCTGGTCTCAAACTCATATGCTCAAGCGATGCTCCCACCTTGGCCTCCGAAAGTGCAGGGATTACAGGCATGAGTCACCACACTTGGCCTTGGCCTTTCAGGGCATTTTTTATGTTCTATAATCCATATCTATTATTGTTACAGACAAAAGCAATAACCATCCTCCTCTTTTTTTTTTGACAAAAGCAGTCAGGCAGGCTGAGTCACCTCCCGAGCCACCCTCAGCTATGAGTAGGAATTACTGATCGGATTTTCCCCACTCCCCAGCATCTTGGAAGACTTTGTCCTTACAGCCCCTCTGGTCTGAGCCACATCACCTATTTGCTACCTCCCCACTGCCTTCTCCAAACCTGCCCTGCTCAGGCCTCCTGCCTGGCCTTTGCCACTACGGGACCTCCCACTGGAGTGCCCTTGATCAGCTCAGAGCCTCAGGCCTCCTCAAGCCCTGTACCCCACATAGCCCCACATTTTTTGCTAAGTTGCAAGTTTGCAATCTATCTTGCACTTCCTCTCTCTCTCTTCCCCTGTGCCTGATACAGTATTGGGCCAGAGGGACAGATAAACATGAACTAAACCAGTGTTTGGCCCTTTAACATCTGCTTGCTTTCTGTTCTAAGTCCTGAATCCCTCGGCTTGGCACCCACCCTTGCAGCTCAAGATCATCCCTGCCTCCTAGGCTCATGCTTTGCCCTGCACTGGGTACGCTCTCACACTACAGACCTCTTTCAAAGCCTCCCAGAGACTCCTCTCCCCCCATCACCCCGCCAGGGTCTCCCCTGCCTGCACCAGCCCCCATCGGTCTCTGTCTCTAGCACCACCTTCCCCATTCACTGACGACCTTGACTTTGGTATGTGAATCCATAACACAGTTAAACACTGCACAGCCCAGCGTGCTGAGCGCTTCACATGTGCATTTGGGGATTTGCCCCAAGCAGTAGAAATGGGAGCAGAGCTGGTTAAGGCACAGGTCGTCCTGTCTGCCCCAGAGTCTCTGCTCAACCAGTCGAGGACGCGGCCAGAGAATCTACCTTTCTAACAAGGTCCCAGGTAAAGCTGTGGCTGGGGGTCTAGAACCACAGACCTAGAGCAGCAGTTGCAAGCTGGTGTCCCAAGGGCCACCTCTGGTCCACAGGGATTTCACATAACAATTAAAACTTTCAGCTTTTCTTTAAAAAAATCAATATCTCTGTCCACACTGGGTCTTTTTTCCTGTGTGTTCATCACCATTGGCCGTCTACTCCACCCCTCAACCCTACAGCAGCTGCCCTTCTCTGTGTCCCGTCTGGGGCCTTGGGGACCCGGCAGCTGTGGCCTCAAGGCAAGAACTGTGCCTTGGAATGACACTGAGCCTCCCAGCCTGGCATGGTGGGCACACAGACTGCCCTGGAAACGCTGTCCACAGATGATCTGCCTCTCCCCCAGCTGGGCAGCCTTCCTCTGAGACTGCAGCCCAAACATCACTGCTAAGTGTAAGTTTCCTTTTTTACTGCCTCCACCCACCCAGAGAAACAGGTTAACAGAGAGGCACCAGGCAAGGACAGCACAGCCCCAACCTCAAGGCCACTGTCCCCCACATACTCTATACACCAGGAACCCCACAGCCAGGGCCACCCCTGACCTTAGTCAGGATACCCACCCTGCCTTTGTCTTAGCCCAGAGGTAAGAACCCACAAGACAGGCTGGGCACGGAGGCTCATGCCTGTAATCCCAGCACTTTGGGAGGCCGAGGTAGGTGGATCACCTGAGGTCAGAAGTTTGAGACCAGCCTGGCCAATGGTGAAACTCCATCGCTACTAAAAATACGAAAATTAGCCAGGTGCAGTGGCAGGTGCCTGTAGTCCCAGCTACTTGGGAGGCTGAGATATGAGAATCATTTGAATCTGAGAGGCAGAGGTTGCAGTGAGCTGAGATTGCGCCACTGCACTCCAGCCTGGGTGACAGAGTGAGACTCCATCTCAAAAAAAATAAAAATAAAAATAAAATAAATAAAACAAGCTGCCAGACAGAGAGGAGGCTGAAGAAAGATCCGTGTGAGTACAGTACTCCCTTCCTTGTTCCCTGGCCCTAGGGGGGGGCAGGAGGGGCTTGCCCCCTCTCTGAGATGACCCCATGTGCAGTGACAAGTGAGGCTTGTCACCCCCAGCCCCGGGGACCAAATCTGAACCTGTGCAGTGGGTTAAATAGCATCTCCTCCAAATCCACGTTCACCCGAACCCCAGAATGTGACCTTGTTTGGGAAATGGGGTATTTGTGAAGTAGGAGTTAGGACCAACTCCAGAGGCGGAGTCCTGACACTGGACTAAATTGAGGACTAGTGAAAACAGGGATGGACGGGGCGGAAGCAGCATTCCAAAAGACATGCCCAGCAGTGTGCTATGTCAGTTTGCCATTGCCATGGCAACGTCTGGGAGTTACCGCCCCTTTCCATAGCAATGACCCAATGGCCCAAAAAGTTACTAGAAATGTGTGCATAAACTGCCCCTTTATCTGCATGCAATTAAAAGTTGGTATAAATATGACTGCAAACGGCCCTAAGCTGCTCCTCAGTACGCTTCCTCTGGCACAGCCCTGCTCTGCAGGAGCTGGCACGGAGCTGTAATGCCTCATCAGTAAAGCTGTCTTCTACCCACCAGCTTGCCTTGAATTCTCTCCCAGGCAAAGCCAAGAACCCTTGCAGGCTAAGCCCCCGTGGGGGCTCGACTGTCCTGTGCCACTTACAGGCGTTATTAAATGAAGGATGTCAAGATGAGGCCATCCTGGATTTAGGCAGGTCCCTAAATCCAGTGACTACTGTCCTAGGAAGAAGAGGAGCGGACACAGAGACACACAGAGGGAAAAACCACATAAAGACAGAGGGAGATCTGAGTGACTAGGCCACAGGCCAAGGAGGCCAGGAGCCACCAGGAGCTGGAAGAGGCAAGGGAGGCTCCTTCCCAGCACCTTTGGAGGGAACACAGCTCTGCAGGCACCCTGATCTCACACTTCCAGTCTCCAGAACTGTGAGACCATACGTTGCTGTTGCTCTAAGCCACCCAAAGCATACTAATTGGTTATGGCAGCCCAACTTCCTCAGTACCCCAATCCCTGGGCACCAGCCCCCACCTAAATCTGCTGCTCTCCCTCTCCCTCATCCCCCAGCCAGTCCTTGCCTGGTCCTAAGACCTGCCTCCTGGAGCTTTTACCCCTCTCCCTTGCTTTTCTTTCTCTCTTTTTCTTTTCTTTTCTTTCTTTTTTTTTTTTTAAAGACAGGGTCTCACTCTGTTGCCCAGGCTGCAGTGTAGTGATGTAATCCTTGCTTACTGCAGCCTCAACCTCCTGGGCTCAAGTGATCCTCCCACCTCAGCCTCCTGAGTAGCTGAGATTACAGATGTATGCCACCACACCTGGCAAATTTTCCTTTTTTTAGAGATGGGGTCTCGCTATGTTGCCCAGCCTGGTTTCAAACTCCTGACCTCAAGCCATCCTCCTGCCTTGGCCTCCGACAGCGCTAGGATCACAGGCGTGAGCCACCAGCCCAGCATCCCTTGCCTTTCATTCGCACCTCCACCTCCAGAATGACCCTTATTCCCTCCTGTGCAGACGGCGACAACAGCAACTCCTACAAACACCGCCAGACTCATCTTCAAGAGCAGAGGAACTCCCAATCATGACGACACCCCCGCCCGGCTCTCAAATCCTCCAGGGCTGCCTGCTGTGGGGAGGGATGCACGCTTTGCCTGGCTTTCAAGGCCTCCGCCAACTGGGTCCAAACCAGCTCCCAGCCTGGCCTCACCATCCCACCGCCGAACCTTTGCTCACACTGGCCCCTCTCCCTGAAACACCGGCCTTACGACCCCAGGTCTACCCGTGTGAACACCACCCCACCTTCTAGACCATTTCCAGCAGCCCCTCCCCCACACTGCACCCCTGCTTCTCATGACCTAGGGGCTTCCAGAACATTGGGTCCAGCTGAGTCCTTCCACCCGTCCCTAATGTCCCAACCCTTTGTTGTATATTTTCTCAAGGGCCAGGGTGGACCCAGCTCTTCTCTGAATCCCTCGCAGGCTCATACCCCGAACCTCAAACAATTCCCGAGCACTCAACCCTGTGCCAGGCGTTGGAGACAGAGGCACGAGACAGCAAGGTCCTTGTTGTCATGGCAGTGACTCTGCAGTGGGCACGTGGGAGGCACCAGAAAAATGTGTTGAATTTGAGTCAATTAAATTGAATCTTGGAGACAGGGGATCTTGGTCTGGCCTCCCACCCAGTAGGCATGAGAGGCTTCCAGATCCTTTTTTTCCTTTCTGTCCTCATTTCAACTTATTTTTCTTTTTACCAACAGTGTTATCATTCTGCTTTTTAATTCTGTTCTGTTAGGAGGGAGGGTTGGAGGGGACCAGGCTGCCTTCTCCAGGCACCTGGCTGCTCTTCTGCCGTGGGTCTTGGATCCCTGGACACTTTCACCAGCCCCCGCCCCACCCCCCACCGGCCACACCCAGGACTCTGCCTCTGCTGCCCGCACGGGGCTCCCCAGCGCCCACAAGCCTGGAAAGGTGAGATGCTGCCACCTACCCCCAGTGCCTGCCCCGACCTAAGACCACCCTGAGGACCATGCCCACCCAGCCAGAACCGCCCACTCAGCTTGCCCGTTAGAGCCTGAAGTCAGCGGCAGACAAGGCAGAGGCTGGCCGTGGGAATCCCAGAGGATGTCTGCAGTCCGACTGTTAAGCATCGCAACTTCTCACCAGCAAGAATGCCCTGGTTGCTATGGTTACAGCAGATCCTGGATCTAGGCCAAGGCCTCCCAGGGCAGGTCCCCAGGGACCCCCCAGTACTCACAGCGCAGCCAGGCGAAGCCCCGGGGCATGGTGGTGTTCCTCGTCCCCCTGAGAGCTCAGGCGCTGTCCCCAGCAGTGTGTCCACAGAGGCCTAAGTACGGCCTACATGGCCTCGGGGCAGCAGAGGTGGCCACTGAGTCAGGGAAGGGCTGGCCCTGGAGGAGTGGCTAGGCTGCAGGATCGGGCAGGTGCCCCAGGGGCAGCAGCTGCCCTTATCTGCCCGGCAACGTGGAGGACAGCCTGGGGGCGGTGGCTGCAAGTCCCATGGCAGCCCAGAAGCAGGTCTGAGCCGGTGGCTTGGGGGGTCTTTTGGGGTCTTCCTTTCCAAGGAGCAGGAGGAGAGAGTCCCTGGCAGGCCCCTCGGAATCTGGGGCTGGGTGACGCTTTCTCTGATTTCTCCGACTGCAGCTGCTCAGTGTGAAATCTGGCTCTGGGAAGAGAAAGGAGGAGAGAAACTGATTATGTAAGAGCAGCACTGCCACTCAGCCATCAGCCACAGTGCACACCGCACCCACAGCCTGCACAGGACCACCCGGCCCTGGCAGCTGGACACGGCTCACATGAGAAATGACTTCAGAATGTCCAAGCAGCCCTGGCCCATGAGTGAGTTACGATGACACCAGCTGGCAGCCTGGGGCCTGAACAAAAGCAGGACCAAAGAATGAACAGGTGGTTTGAGTTCACACACTGAGGGCCGTGGTAGAGTCCATGAATGACTCAGGCTGCAGGACAGGTTAAAAAAGCCGATGAGTTCCCACTCCGAAAACAATGCTAGACGTGGTGGCTCATGCCTGTAATCCCAGTACTTTGGGCGGCCAAAGTGGGAGGACTGTGAGAGCCCAGGAGTTCGAGACCAGCCTGGGCAACATAGTAAGACCTCATTTCTATCAATAAAAATAAATAAATAAACAAGAAAAAATAATTTTTTTTTGAGACAAAGTCTCACTCTGTCATCCAGGCTGAAGTGCAGTGGTGTGATCTCCGTTCACTGCAACCTCCACCTCCCGGGTTCAAGCAATTCTCCTGCCTCAGCCTCCCAAGTAGCCAGGATTACAGATGCGCACCACCATGCCTGGCTAATTTTTGTATTTTTAGTAGACATGGGGTTTCACCATGTTGGCCAGGCAGGTCTCAAATTCCTGGACTCAAGTGACCTGCTGCCTTGGCCTCCCAAAGTGCTGGGATCACAGGCGTGAGCCACCGTGCCTGGCCAGGACAAAGGTCTTTACATTTATTGAATCTCACAGCAATCTCATGGAAGCACAAAATCTCAGTTTATCAATGAGGAAACTGAGGCCCAGAAAGGTTAAAACACTTGTCCAAGGTCATACAGCTTGTAAGAAGTGTGACCGGAATTCACACCCTGTGGGCTAGTGGCTGCTCCCAAAAGTGGACACCCACACAGGGCTCAGCACGTGTGCATGGTCCTCCCATCTGCCCCTCTGGACTCCGCAAGGTCTGGACCATTGTGTCCGTTCTGCAGATGAGGCTGGAATTCCGTCTCTGATTTAGTTCTCTTCCATCCCCTCGCCTCCTCCCTGTCTCCCCTCTGGTGGGGGGAAACGGCTACAGAGTGACACCATTGGGGGAGAGCAGGTATGACTTTTGCATCTTCTTCATTGTGTGATCCATAGTGTCACCAAAGAATGCTGGCCCTTACCCTGGGAGGTGCCCAGCAGGCAGGCAGGGCCTTATAGAGAGAACATGGGTTGTTCAAGTTAATCCCTTATGCAGTCACCCTGAATCTCAGTCCCAGTCGCTACCTGCTGCTGCTCCTCTTCCTCGTCCTCCCTCCTCCTTCCTCTTCCCCCTCCTCCTTCCTCCTCCTCTTCCTCCTTCCTCTTCCCTCCTCCTCTTCCTCCTTCCTCCTCCTTTCTCCTTCCTCCTCTTCCTCCTTCCTCCTCCTCTTCCTCCTCCTCCTTCCTCTTCCTCCTTCCTCCTCCTCTTCCCCCTCCTCCTTTCTCCTTCCTCCTCCTCTTCCTCCTTCCTCCTCCTCCCTCCTCCTCTTCCTCCTCCCTCCTTCCTCTTCCTCCTCCTCCTTCCTCCTCCTCTTCCTCCTTCTTCCCCCTCCACCTCTTTCTCCTTCCTCTGCCTCCTCTTCCTCCTTCTTCCTCCTCTTCCTCTTCCTCCTCTTTCCCCCTCCTCTTTCTCCTTCCTCTTCCTCCCCTTCCTCCTTTCTCCTCCTTCCTCTTTCTCCTTCCTCCTCCTCCTTCCTCCTTCTCTTCCTCCTTCCTCTTCCTCCCTCTTCTTTCCTCCTTCCTCTTCCTCCTTCTCTTCCTCCTTCCTCCTCCTTTCTCCTCTTCCTCCTCCTCCTTCTTTCTCCTCCTCCTCCTTCCTCCCCCTCTTCCTCCTCCTCCTCCCTTCTCTTTCTCTCATCCTCCTTCCTTCTGCCTCCTCCTCCTCCCTTCTCCCTCCTCCTCTTCTTCCTCATTCTCCTCCTCCTCCCTTCTCCTTCTCCTCCTCTCCCTCCCCCTCCTCCTCCTCCTCCATCCCACCCTAGCAATTCCCCTGCTGTTACATTCATTTGGGGAATTTTTCAGGTTTATTGAGGGCTAATTTACATATACTACATTTTACCCTTTTCAGTATACAATTCTAAAAGTTTTTAGCAAATTCATAGAACTGTGTAATTACTGTAATAATCAAGATACAAAACATTTCCATCTACCCAAAAAATTCCCTGCTGCGGCTTCTCAGTCAGCTCCTCCTCCAGCCCCAGCCCTAGGCAACAACTCATTTGTTTTCTGTCCAGCATGCTTGCCTTTCTCAGAATGTCAGATAAATACAATTGTAGTGTGTGGCCTTTTGTTTTGGCTTCTTTCACTTGGGACACTGCATTTGGGAACCAGCCATATTGTTGATGCTTGATGGGGTTAAGTCCCGATAAACCCATCATAAGTCAAAAATAACATAAATAAAAAACAGATTTAGGCTGGGCACAGTGGCTCACGCCTGTAATCCCAGCACTTTGGGAGGCCAAGGCTGGCAGATCACCTGAGGTCAGGGGTTCGAGACCATCCTGGCCAACATGGCAAAACCCCTTCTCTACTAAAAGTACAAAAAATAGCCAGACGTGGTGGTGCACATCTGTAATCCCAGCTACTCAGGAGGCTGAGGCAGGAGAATCGCTTGAACCCACGAGGCATCTATAATCTCAGCTAGTTGGGAGGCTGAGGCAGGAGAATCGCTTGAACCTAGGAGGCAGAGGTTGTAGTGAGCTGAGATCACGCCACTGCACTCCAGCCTGGGTGACAGAGTGAGACTCCATCTCAAAAAAAAAAAAAAAAAAATCCCTAGCCAGGTATGGTGGCTCATGCCTGTAATTTTAGCTACTCTGGAGGCTGAGGTAGGAGGACTGCTTGAGCTCAGGAGCTCAAGGCTGCAGTGAGCTAGGATCGCACCACTGCACTCCAGCCTGGGTAATACAGTGAGACACTGTCTCAAAAAACAAAAATAAAAAATAAATTACCTTGCTAGACTTATACTGCGATGTCCACCAGTTGGGGCAGTAAGGCCCTGCTCATCCTGTGGGCTTCACTCCCCGCTCCTTTCCTAAGACACATGCTTTGTTTTTGGTTCCTCTGTCCCCTGTCCAAAAACCGAGACCACCTCCCCAGGGAGGGAACATGGAACTTGAATTAGAATCCTGGCAGTTCAGAGCCTGTGCCCCAGCCCTTAAGAGGTGGTGCAATTTCATGTTCAGGACACACACAGCCTGTGAGAAACCCCAAGCACCCACTCAATTTGCTGTATAACAAATCACCCCAAAATACAGTGACTGAAAGCAATCATGTGTTATTTTTCATGAATGACAGGTTGGCTGGGACTTAGCTGATCTAGGCTGGACTTGGCTGATCTGGACTTGGCTCAGCTGATCCAGGGTGGGCTGGGCTGATCTGGGCTGTCCTTGGCTGATCTGGCCTGAATTTGGCTGATCTAGGTTGGACTTGGCTGATCTAGGCTTGGCTCTGCTGATCCAGGTTGGGCTTAGGTAATCTAGGCTGGGCTTGGCTGATCTAGGCTGAACTTGGCTGATCTAGGCTGTACTTGACTGATCTAGCATGGGCTTGGCTGATAGTCTGAGCTACTTGGGAGGCTGAGGCAGGAGGATCGCTTGAGCCTAGGAGATCAAGGCTGAGGTGGGTTTGGCCATGTGAGTTGCTGTGACCAATGGGATATACTTGGACATTGGGACTTTCCCTCTATTGCTGCCAGGGGGCCTTCATGTCATGTAAGTAATCCTGGTAGCCTGCTAGAGGAGGCATTGCTGAAGCCCCAGACATTTGACGGAGGCTATTCTAGATGAGCTGGCCCCAGTCAAGTCATCCCAGCATCCTAGTCCACCCATAGAATCATGAGCTATAATAAATATTTATTTATTTTAAGCCGTTAAGTGTTAGGGTGGTTTGTTACATAGTAGGAGCTAACTGATACACCACAAAGGTCCACCATCCCCAAAATGCTCCATACACTGGTTCAGCCCCAAATAAAAACAACTTCCAGGAGTGGTTTAGATAGCTTCTCTCAGACTGAAGCTCAGTACCCAGTCAGGAGGACTTTGAGGACAAAAGTATGCTGTCCTTGCCACAGGACCCAGCTCAGGATCTTCAGTTGGAAGAGGAACTTTCTAGAATTCAGGACTAGCCAAGACTTTTTTTTTTTTCCTCTATCATATTTTATTTATTTTTTGCAACCTTTTTTTTTTTTTTTTTTTTTGAGACTGAGTCTCACTCTATTACCCAGGCTGGAGTGCAGTGGCATGATCTCAGCTCACTGCAAGCTCGGCCTCCCAGGTTCACACCATTCTCCTGCCTCAGCCTCCTGAGTGGCTGGGACTACAGGGGCCCACCACTACACATGGCTAATTCTTTGTACTTTTTAGCAGAGATGGGGTTTCACTGTGTTAGCCAGGATGGTCTCGATCTCCTGACTTCGTGATCTGCCCACCTCAACTTCCCAAAGTGCTGGGATTACAGGTTTGAGCCACCATGCCCGGCCTATTTTTTGCAACTTTTTATAATGGAAGTTGTCTAAACAAACTGAAACAAGGTAGAATAGTATAACAGACCCCCATAAAGCTGTTACTCCGCTTCAGAAATTGTCAATCTGGCCTGGTGCAGTGTCTTACACCTGTAATCCCAACACTTTGGGAGGCCGAGACAGGTGAATCACTTGAGGCAGAATAAACAACAAGGAGAAGGGGAAAAAAACAACTTAAAATATCAAAAGAAAAACAAAAAAGTTATTTCCACAGAATTGTCCATGAAAGATCAGGAGTTTGAGACCAGCCTGGCCAACATGGTGAAACACTGTCTCTACTAAAAATACAAAAATGGCCGGGCGCGGTGGCTCAAGCCTGTAATCCCAGCACTTTGGGAGGCCGAGACGGGCGGATCACGAGGTCAGGAGATCAAGACCATCCTGGCTAAC